CGGGCTAGTCGCATCAATTGTGCTTAGCTTCACGCAGTGCATCTCTCTCTTCGAACCCATTACCTGGAGACCTGTAATGCCATCTAAAATTCTCCTGTTCTTCAGGTCAACTATCAAACCAAAATTATTCAAAAAATCCGCCCCTATTATTGGGTGATTTACCTTCGCCACTAGGAACTCCCACAGGAACTGTCTGCGCAACCCCAAATTGACTTGCACTAATTTCGTTCCATACGTGCTAATTTTCGCTCCGTTTGCTGCGTATAAATAATATTGCGTGGCTTCATTTTCAGGCTGCATTCTCTTTGGCAAAATTGAAACTTCCGCGCCTGTGTCTATTAGATAATTTATACCTGTTTTTTTATCTTTGAAGAACAAACGGCATGCTTTACCCTCTGCCACTTCACTCGCCGTCAGACGTGAAGTGGTGTTTAGTTTTCCGCTGAGTTTTGCGGTGGTTTGTACTGGCAAGGCTGAACACATTTTGTGGACCTCTCCTTGAACCGCCGATGATAAAAACAGATATTATCTCTTCTAGCACTTGATGATCGCCCTTTTCCACGATCTCTGTCATTGCTTCTTCCTCTTTTGCCCAACTGAATGACCAAATTATTTATCATGACTTTCAACTCGTCAATTTCCTTCCTCATCTCCTTCGGTTCATTCCTTTGTACTACACAAACCGTTTCTGTTTCCTGTACCTCAAATACCTTATCAGCCACTTTGGCCCACTGTGCAGAATCACCTTCCACTGCAGCTACGATTGTTCTAACTCCCACTGGCAGTCGCTGTAACCACAATGACTTTAGTACATCATCATTCATTGAATTGCCGGCCATCTCCTTCATTTTCTTCAGCAATTGAGTTGGTTTCATGTCACCTAGCTCCAATTCTGTCAGCAACTTACGCAGCCTTTTGTGCTCCGATTCTGTGAATTCATAAATTAACCGTTTCTTCAACGTCTCATATTTCAACACCTTCGGTGGATCTCGAATCACATCAACTATGCACTCCAGGTATTTCGGCTCTAAACTTGCTACTACATGATCGAACATTGTATCATCTTTCGTTATTCCCGCATTCCTGAACTGTGCTTCCATTTGCAGAAAAAAAAGGTCCGGATGCTCTCTAGAAAACATCATCGGCTTAACTGAAACCCGGTATACCTCCTTGTCAGTGCGACTTTCTCCTTCTGCCGGAAAAAAATCTTCTTCCTCACGGTTAGTCATCTTGCTTGCTAATGTTGGGCTTGATAATAACTTACAACTCCTTTTTGTGTCGGGGTCACCAATGTTGTGATTACAATAACCAAATAGCTTTTATTAATAAAAAACAGTATTTATTGTAACACAAACTTTTATTATTTTTAATACAACTTTAGAAACACTAACTAATTGACTGACTGACCAACTGACTGAAAAAATCTGAATAAATATTTTTAAATAAAATATTTTTAAATATCAGAGAATCTGACAATTTTAGCCTACTTTGTTGATTCTCACCACAGTACAATGTTTTTAATTAATAAAATTAAAACTGTATTAACACTGTTTATCTAGATATATGTATTGAATATCTATGGTTTGTTCTCATTACCAACACAAAAGCAGAGGTCATCTGCAAAACCTCTCCTGGAGAAGTATTTTTTGCTTCTCTTCAAATTTAATGTGACTTCAGACTATCTCAATTCTTTAACGGCAATATCATTGGCCACTAAGTGTAAATGATCTCTAAGATTATAGTGATAACAACATTTTAAACGTAAAATACTGTACTTCATATCAAATAATATAAGTTATTATTTAAAAGACGTTAAAAGTGCTTCACATATGTCAACAAATGAATTGATTAAAAATGCTATAAATGCTTAATACGAAATCTATGCTTAAAGAACGTCTAAAACTTATATATTCAAATTGATTTTAAATCAACTTAGTTTCATATGGCAATACAATAGACCAAATCCAAATGGTCTCCAGATTAACCTTGATAACTAACAAATATAATTCCAATAATCAGCAACAACTTTCTATTTAAGTAATTATAACGCTTACTCAAAATAACTTACAAATCGATTCTCTGGATACCGGGACATAGTGGTGTACGCGGAAATGATTAAGCAGACAAACTAGGCAGGAAAGTAGTACCGCTGATGAGGTTAGAACCTTTCTGTGGACTAGGGCACAGTACCCCCATTTCTCTCATAAAAATAAAGGAGGACCAGAACATAAAAGAATACTGGGATAATCTAACAGGATTAGTTCAACCCAAATCATTTATTGGTACCCATAACAATAGGAGATACCAGAATTGTATGAATTTATCAAAAGAAAAACTTAGAATTCTCACTGGAATCTTAACAGAATACTGTAAACTAGAACACCACCTTAGAAACTTAGCATATATACGGATCCAAAATGTAAATTCTACGAAGAGAATGAAGAGTCAGTCACACATGTGATGTTAGAATGTCATGCATTAACACACGCACAGAATAGACTCCTAGGAATATATATCCTGCGAAAGAGGCAATAAACCACTATAAGGAAAGTCTATATTCTATATTAATTTATCGGGTGGAACAGGTTTAGAAACTCACTCTAGCCACAGAAGGGGGCACAAGTAGACCAAATGGGCATAGTGTCGCATCCCCTCTTATTAATAAATAAATAGTAGACAATAACTAGCATATTCAATTTAAGTTAGGTAAGGTTTAACTAATTGGCACCAAGATGTCAAGCTAGAGCTTATGAGGTCAGAAAACCAGACGAAAATATTATTGATGTTAATTTTTTCTTGCCGAAAGTGACGCGTCTTTATGACAAAAAGAAACTATTTCAAAGTTGGATGGAGTCGAATAACAAAGAAAATACAAGAACAAAAATTTAGTTAATTTATTGCAATTCGTCTGACTATAGAACGCTGTTTCGAATAATGCCACGTACTTATCATCAGTGGTTTTAGGAAATATTCGAATTTCTTTGTAATTATTTTGTACTCGTAGTCCGTATATAATTTGTTTGGACTGCAAGTGTCAGGCTTAGAACTCGTGCCTGTCAGCTTATAAACTACTATTGATTGAGTTGTAATCAAATTGAAGATTGTGTATTTCCTTATGGATTAGTTTGTTAGTTGTCAATTAAACTATTGCCTAATTGTGCTCAAGCTCATTATAATTACGACTTATTGCTGAATACATGGCTGGCTTGCAAAATATTTTCGTCTTCATTCAGGAATGTAAAAATTACTATATTATGGCTCTGCCCATAACATAGTATATAATTTACGAAGCCTGAATTAACAACTTTTGATTTGTTCCAGTAAAATGCTTTTGCTTTCAATCGTTACAATTGCAATAATAGGTTTATTATTTAATTGTAAAATAACTAAAATGTCATATTATTAATGAAAATCCCTCCGTATTTCATTGATAGCTTTATCTTAAAGTCAAAAAATGCAACGACAAAAAATATTATTATTAATGTAAAGGATGTAATATTTCATGGCAAACAACAAGTGCCAGCCTTCATATTTCTTTTTCTCAACAGTCTTCATCCTCCCAGTTGAGAACAGCCGAGATAAGAATTCCAGTTTTCAGCTATTGATCACGTTTCCGACTGACTGCGAAATGCACTTCTGCTGCTGCTGCTGTTTTTATTTATTGATGACAATCACGTAAACGCAATGGCACTGGCAACGAATTGTCGCTTTTGTTGCCGCTGCTTCATTGCCAAAATAAAAGTAACTTTAATCGTAAAATATGCGGAAATTTTTGCAAATTTTATTTATATTTTATTCTTTAATTTTTAAGTTAACTCACAATTAAAAAATAAACACGAAGCCCTGTGACGATATTCTGAACTCAACTGTGAGTTTCTTGAATGCGAAGTTGTAAATTTGGATTTCGTTGCGTTTCTGAATTAATTGCTCCTGAGTTCGTGACATGCAACATTGATTTGGCTTGTGTGGGCAGTTAAAAAACTATTTTACCTAATGGCAATTTGAGGCATTAAAGGCACAATACACATAAAAAATATTGCAATCTGAAATATGCATCGACAGTGGGCGGAGTTGCATTAATTCAGATTGCTGCATATAACTGTTGAGAATAATGTTTTATGCATTTAGTAATATGTTAGTATAAAATAAAATATTTAAAACTAAATTATATACTTATTTTAACGCTTCCAATATTTAAATATTCGGTCTAAAAATTTCTAGAATTACAAATATAATGAAAACATTTTTTTGAAATTGGTACAAATATGCTTCTTTATTCGACCGTATCAATATTATTTCGAAGAAGATCCCTTGACAAGTAGCGAAGGTAATGTTTACCCACTAAAATGATATGTAGTATTCAGTTTAACGAAAACTCTATTATTTAATCATGATTCTAACATATGAGTACATCTAATTGTTTTATACTAACAAAATTATTTTCGATGGCTATATTTAATAAACATTACCAGGAGATGTAAAGCAATTTATTCCATTGGGCTGACTAAATTCGTAAATATTCTCTGGTGAAAGATTTTATTTATTTAACTCAATTATAATAACTCAATTCTATTAGGCAGTTAGTCATATATTTCTGAAAAATTTTGTTAATTCGACCTAATTTATTATATAAATATTTTTTAAAACACGCATTTTGACTAAATTAATGTACAGTAAATTAGATTGATCTATGGTAGACAAACGAGAAAGAGGAGCTTTCTGAAAATCCTGAAATGTCTGTAACATGAAATTGTATTAATTATATTTGTAAAATCGTTCTATAAATGTAGAATATTTTTAATATGATTTTTAGGAATTAGGAATTACTTTCATAATTGAAGCTAATTTTTTTCAGAAAGTTTTTTTAACCAAAAATTACTTACAACAACAGTTTTATT